GGCTTTGAGTCCCCACTCTGCACTTACCCTCATTTACAATATAATTTTTTTGTTCTTTGATGCCTGATACCTGATCCCTTCAACACCTCGTGGTCACACAGGCTGGTCTCATGGCTACTCTTGAGCTATAGCTGCCGGGTGTTTTTTTCTTTAAATAAAAAAAAACAGTTTCTCATTCTTAATAATAAAATGTGATAACAGAAATGACATATAAGAAATTAAGTAAAGGATTTTTCTTTCGTGTGTTTGTTTTTCTGTTGTCAGTATTCATGGTATTTCTTTCCTGCTTAGTAGTAGTTCTTATTTTGAGACCTCACCCTGCACATATTTGATCGCTCGCCTGAGCATGATTTCCTTTTCCATGCTTCGTTTATTGATGTCTGCAAAAGCAGGGCCTTTTTTTTTATTGTATAGTGATGGTTTAGACCTTATACCACTCATTTCTTTATTTTTATCTGAGCATCCCCTACCACCGATAGCTTGAAGAAATGTAAAACAGTAAGTGGAGTCCTCGTCTCGATTCTGATGGTGATGTGGCTGGGGTGCCACGACAAGCCAGATAAACCGGTATTCCAAGAGAATCAGGAATCCTCTCTGACCTCCCTGCACTGTGCTTCTTGGTGCCATTAAAGCCCTGGCTTAGGCTGGATCAATTAATACATTTGCTGGGAATATGACTTCGGGGTATTTTATAGCAGTGGTTTCAATACTGTTCATGGGGAAATGGAAACTTGAGAATATGAAGATAATCTAAACCACATGATGGGTTCCAGGGGAAGGGACAAGCCTTGCAGTGTCTCGAGTGTGCACGGACTCCATTCAGTGGGGAACAGGATCAGAGAAAACCACAAGTGAACTTTTCAACCCTCTAGAGAGGACTCTCCCTGGTACAATGAGCTCTGAGATGGAGTTGTTCCTGATGACAGGCCTCTTCTTTCTTTCCTCAGGAACAAATAGGTCCCTTTGCCCAAGAAAAAGGATATAAGTGGGAGCTCAAGCAACGAGGTCAGACAGCCATTGCTAGCACTAGTGAAGTGAAATGACAACTGTATTTCCAGCCCTTCACTGGTCAACTGACTTGCCTTTTGTTAGAGGGTTCGAGTTCTGTTGGGTTCTTTTAACAACAGATTACCCAACAAGTTGTGTATTGTAGGGGGTTGGGTGAATTGGCAGTAAACTGTTTCTTTTCCCTTCCAGTTTGTTGTAGCGGTATTCTGGATCATTTACGCCTATGACAGAGAGATGATTTACCCGAAGTTGCTTGATAATTTCATCCCAGGGTGGCTGAATCACGGAATGGTGAGTAGACTCAAACGAGTGATTTCCAGTTATTAAAAATATGTATTAAAGAACTCTTTTTAAAATCTAGACTTTCCATGGAGTCTGTGTTGTGAAATGTTGAACATGATCATGAGAGATTTATAATTCGGTAAGAACCCTGCATGCAAGTAAAAGACCTCTTCCATGGAATTGAGCCCTTAGGAAGGCTATGAAGCATGCGTGCCCACGGATTACACGAAGGCTCAGTGGTGGTGAATAATAGCAGTCACTCATTCTGGGATGGATTGAATGTCTGTGCAACAATTTGGCCCCAGTAGAGGTAAAGGATTGATTGCCAAGTAGATGACTATCAACTTCCCACTCCACCTCCACCTTACATCACTTGATTACATTAGAAATAACCATTGCACTTGGAGAATTTCTCCCCAGAGGAGGAGAAAGCCTGTTTTTTTTTTTCTGTACAAAACAAAACAAAAGACTGTTACAGACATTTAGGGGTGTCCTTACCAATAGAGTTGTCAGCCTTGTACGCTTCTGCCCCTGCAGGCCTCTCTCTGTGTCAGACCTTCTCCTTCTTCTCGGGCTTTCCCATGGTTTACATGGCGCAGCCTTCACTGGGTTCTCAGCAAATGCTCCGCATCACTGGCACGCTGCTCTGCGGAGTGGAAGCTACATTTTCTGCCAAGACATGTTGTGTTGTCTTCCTTTTCTATTTCTGGAATTGAGCATTGTTTTGTTATTAGCTAAGAAGCCTACTTTTTGGTTACAGCAGCTTTTAGACTCTGTCATTGGGCGTTCCTGGTGAAAAGGGCAACCCATCGCAGAAATTACAGGGGAGCAGAGAACAAGAAATCACGAGCCTTGAGTCCAAAATAAGCTTCCCTTCTGCCCCCGATTTAGGCATATTTTAAGAAAAGTGGTAAGTATTAACAAGTAAACATTCCTCTACTGAGAGGTTTTGAGCAGCCCTTTCTTAAGCCAACTCATGCCAAGTGGCGCATCTCTGAGAACTGGGATTTTCTTTGATTCTACTTAGAGCACCAATGGCAAAGGATTAGCATGGCATCTTTGGTCATGTTACAAATGACCATTTTCAGACAAAAAAGTTGAGACTAAGTGTTCAACTTAGCTACCTAAGGGACTCTGACACTCTCCAACTCTTCCCCTTTCTTACAGGTGGAAGGACTTTTTTATAAATCCATGAATGTGCAATCCTTTCCCCCCAGGCCCGTCCCGATTCTTTATTAATAATTTCCTTCTCACTTGTGTTATTTGCTGCCATCAAATGAGCCTGCAATGCGTCGTGACCCCGCGCACAACAGAATAAAACACTGCCAGTCCTCTACCCCACGACGGATTGTGGTTTGGGCCCTTGTGATCCATGGGGTTTTTATCAGCTTACTCTGGGAAATAGGTCACCAGGCCATTCTTCCTAGGACTTTCTGACCTGGCAGCTCCGCAGAAATCTGTTCAGGATCACGGTAGCCTGAAGTTCTCCACAGTGACAGTGAGAATTCTACCAGGGAGCCACCAGGCCCCTTTATCAATTGATGTGGACTCAGCCCAGACTCACGCAGTCCCACTCATGTTAGAGTAGAACTGCTCTGTTGGGTTTGCTTTTAATTAGTTATTTTGATGTTGCCGAGAATATGTGCAGAGTGAAACTGTTGTTTCTACATGTACAATATAATGACATCAGTTCTTCCAGTTGTGCAGCCCCTCACCCTCCTTTTGTGAGCTATTCCTTCCTCACTCACATAAACTCACTACCCTGTAAGTTCTTCCCTAATATTTCGAGATTCTGCTTGATCCCATGTAGGTAGTTCTTAATAAGAGCAAAATGCCCCTGGCAGATATTTTTTTACTTGTTAAGCCCAACTATTGGAGACTTCTGGGAATAGTTTTGGTTTTAGGTTTGAAGATTATCTCAGGGAAGTAGTTTGGGTGGATCATCCACCCTCCATGGCTACAAAAAGTCTTGAGTCTGCGAGAACTAGAAATTCTGCTCTGCATTTCCTCCCCGTTGATCACACTTATGCTCTGGAAACTTGGATCAAAATGTTAGTGATCGGAGATAGCCAGCTCCCAGTTGTGCTCTCATGGTGAAACAGGCTACTGTTCATTGACCAACCAACCACGTAATCCATATCCTCCTCCTCCTCCTACTGACTCTCCTTCTTCCTCTCTTATTACAGATGAATAGAAAGCAGTGGCTGTGCTTTGCATGGCTTTTTGCTAGCTGTAAGACCCCTGTCCTATGAACTAGGACAGGAACACGGAATATTTTATTAGACCAGTTACCTTGGATATCCCATGAAACTACGACCCTAAAGAAACTTCTAAATCAATGAATTAAGTCCCATGGGTTGTTCAGCTATACACAAGCAACATCAGCAGGTCCTCGCTCCCATTTTTTTTTGCCATTGTGACTATAGCACATATTTTTACCAGTTAACCTTTTACAAGTGTTTAACTCCCTGACTCCGTAAACATCAAACCCATTGCCATTGAGTTGATTCCGACCGCCTGTTCCCTATAAGACAGAGTAAAACTGCCTTATGGGTTTCCAAGAATATTGGAAGGAGGAAGCCTTATCTTGTTCCCAGACAGTACTGGTGGGTTCAAACTACTGACCTTGGGGTTAGCAGCCCAATCATAACCCACTATGTCACTCGGGCTCAGCAAATGCAATAGTCAGCTGATTTTTCATCACTGTTACCCACTTTTCTACCTCTCTCTTGCTGCTGGTAGCCACAAATAAACGTTGGCCTCTTTTAGGGGCTCTTACATCTCCCATCACAATCCATACAGTCATCCATTGTGTCGAGCACATTTGCACATATGCTGCCATCATCATTTTCAAAGCATTTTCTTTCTTCTTGAGCCCTTGATATCAGCTTCTCATTTTTCTCTCTCCCTCCCCGCCGCCCTCCCTCATGAACCCTTGATAAGTTATAGATTATTATTTTCATATCTTACATTGCCCTCTATCGCCTGTCGCCCACTTTTCTGTTGTTTGTCCCCCTGGGAGGGGGTTATATGTTGATACTTGTGAGTGATTCCCCCTTTCTTCCCCCACCTTTCTCTTACCCTCCTGGTATCTCTGTGCTCATTGTTGGCCCTGAGGGGTTTATCTATCCTGGATTCCCTGTGTTGTCGGCTCTTATCTGTAGCATTGTGCATGTTCTGGTCTAATCTGATTTGTAAGGTTGAATTGAGGTCATAGTAGGGGGAAGGAAGCATTGAAGAGCTAGAGGAAAGTTGTGTTTCATTGGTGCTATACTGCACCCTGATTGGCTCATCTCTTCCTTGTGACCCTTCTGTGAGGGGATGTCCAATTGTCTACAGATGAGCTTTGGGTCTCCACTTCACATTCCCCACATCATTCACAATGATATGATTTTTTGTTCTGGGTCTTTGATGCCTAATACTTTATCCCATTGACACCTCATGATCACACAGGCTGGTGTGCTTCTTCCATGTGGACTTTGTTGCTTCCCAGCTAGATGGTCACTTGTTTATCTTCAAGCCTTTAAGACCCCAGAAGCTTTATATTTTGATAGCAGGGCACCATCAGGTTTGTTCACCACATTTTCTTGTGCACCCATTTTGTCTTCAGTGATCGTGTTGGGAAGGTGAGCATCACAGAATGCCGGATTATTAGAACAAAGTGTTCTTGTGTTGAGGGAGTGCTTGAGGAGAAGCCCAATGTCCATCTTTAATCTTAATTCTTAACATATAGATATGAGTACATAGATCTGTTCCCCTCTCATTATATAAAAATATTTACATATGCCCATGTCTATATTTAGACCTCTATAAATGTCCTTTGCCTTGTGTTTTTTCCCCTTACTTTCTTCTTGCTCCACCATCATGTTCAGCCTTCATTCGGGTTTAGTGATTCCTCGCTGCTGCATTGCCCTTGATTAAGCCCCACTAGGCATCCTATGCCCTTCTCTCCATTGATTTTAGTTCACTTGTAGTTTCCTTGTCCTTGGTTGGTTCTCCTCCACACTCCCTTTCTCCCACCTCCCCTTCTCCCGTATCCCCCCAGAACTATTGGTCCCATTCTTTTCATCTCCAAATTATTTATCCCACCTATCTTATCTAGATAGACATGCAGAGACATTAATATGCGCAAAAACTAGGCAGACTTTGGCCTCTGTACATGTATACATGTGTGTTTTCTTTTTTCTTTTCATTTGAGTCAGATAATATCCATCCTCGCGTGACTGACATATCTCCCTCAGCGTAATAGTGCCAAGCTCCCTCCAGACTGTTGCCTGCATCAAGTCTTCATTTCTCCTGCTGGCTCAGCCGTCTTTGTTGGGTGCATGTACTACATTTTGTTTCTCAGTTCATCTGTTGGTGGGCATTTAGGTGACGTCCATCTTGGAGCTAGTGTCCTGCAGCAGTGGTGTACAAGTCTCTTTCTGCGTCTCTGCTTTAAGGTCTGATTTTGAGTATGGCTGATTTTTCGGAAGTAGATTGCCAGGCCTTTTCTGCCAACGTGCCTTTGGGTAGACTCAACCCATCCATCAAGGAGTAGGTGAGCATTTTAATTGTTTGCATCATCCAGGGACTGCACTAACCCCCTTAGCGTTAGCCTGTCATCTCCCCTAAGAAGCCTTTCCTGCCTCCCCCAAGGAAAGGTAGACATTCTGTTATTTGTGTGCTCCATAGCTCTGTTATTCAGAACTCTTTTCTTCCCAAGAAGGTGAAGTTCCTGGTATGGAAAGCAACTTTGAATCCCCAGCACTTTACTAGTTAGCTGGTATATTGTAGGATCGATACATATTTATCAGGTTGATAAATGAATTTAGAGGAGCCAGTTTCCATAATGCTTTGCCAGTCAATGTTAATAACTAGTATTAAGAACCTACTAGGTATCAGATAGTGTATATAATTTTCACAATAGTACTATGAGCTAAGAATTATCTCTTTTGAGGATGGGAAAAATGAAACTTAGAAAAGGTAGATAATGTACTAAAAATCATGGAGCTCCGAGTGGGAGAACC